CAAAAACAGTTTTAGTGCAAATTTGAAAATTTAGTACAAAATTGAAACTAAATATAAACTAGGGAATAAAGTATTCAAGCAATTCGTATCCAAATAATATGATAGACATCTTAAATCGATAACCAGCTTTCGAGTGCGTAATATTTTAAAAACCGGTTATCGTGAAAATTCTAAAACCGGCTTTCGCTTAAATCGAAAATCGGTTTTTGACCGGTTTTACAAAATCGGAATAAACGATTTTGCATTCCAAAATTTGGATACCGAAATTTGAAACAATTCCACCTCAATAGTTCGATATTTAGAATTATAGTTCTAACGTACGCACCTTTCGTTGATGTCAATTTCGATATTTTTTGTAAATTGGTCGAAAGATGGTCAGTTTTAATTTATTCTTCCACATGGTAATACAAAAAATAAAGTGCGGCAAAGCACGATACATAAATAGCGCAATAATGCTGAGAATGCTGAGGATGCTGAGAATTAATTTGCGCTATAAAGCTCAAATTAATTAAATTAATTAATTACTGATTGATTAATTAATTGATTAATGATTGATTAATTAATTAATTGATTGACTGATTGATTAATTAATTAATTGACCACATGCTCTATAATGCGACATGCCGACAACACAGAAAAACATGTTTTCCCCAAATTTCATGCACATCGACCGCAAAATGCCGAAATTAGGGCATGGCGACAAAATTTGTCGCAAAACCTTGATCGCCATATTGCGACATGAAGACAACACCAAAAAACATGTTTCCCCCAAATTTCATGCATATCGACCGCAAAATGCCGAAATTAGGGCATGGCGACAAAATTTGTCGCAAAACCTTGATCGCCATATTGCGACATGAAGACAACACCAAAAAACATGTTTTCCCCAAATTTCATGCATATCGACCGCAAAATGCCGAAATTAGGCCATGGCGACAGAATTTGGCGAAGAAAGTTTCGAAACCTTAGTCGCCATATTGCGACATGTCAACAACACCGAAAAACATGTTTTGCCCAAATTTCATGCCAATCGACTAAAAAATGCCGAAATTAGGCCATGGCGACGTTTTTCGACATGATGTCGACAAAGTGGTCACACCCCCTTAATAGGGTGTCACCCCATAGCCGTGAAGAACATGTGTTAAAAATTTCAGATCGCTGAGACAAGCCGTTCTAGAGTTTTAGTGTTGACGGACGGACAGACGGACGGACGTACGGACGGACAGACTAACTAACCGATCGCATAAAGTAGCTTGCGCTACTTAATAAATTTGCTAAAAAAGTGAGATCACTTTTTCTATCATTTCTAATTCTGTAATTTTAACTTTACCGCAGTATGGAGCAAGTAAAATGTGACGGCAAGGTGAAAGTACTGGTTTTCACCTGAACTTAATATTACCGATAGGAAAGTAATAGGAAAGTAAAGTGAAAGTTGATAGTAAAGAGAAAGTAGAAAGCATAAGTTAACATTAGGCGTTAAAAGTAACTTAAAAGTAACGGCAAAGTGAAAGTGAAAGTTGAGTCAAAATACCCCAGATGGCGAAGTAAAATCTATGGCAAAGTCAAAGTTTTACTTTAGCTTTGCCGTTCGAGTTAATATTTGCGAAAGCAAAAGTAAAATGGAAAAGTGACGGCAAAAGTAGTGGTAAATCCCGAGTTAACATTAGGCGTAAGGGCTCAAAAGTCTACCATTCTGGCATATTCGTGCACTGCAATAAATTACAGAAAATGTCAAAAAGTGGCTCCACCTAGCGGCGCGCTCTTTGTACTACTATCGTAACATGGATATCCCAGCAGGTGTCGCCAAGCTTTGGAAAGAAATCATTCGTGAAAAAAATTCTTGCAGACATTTTTTTTATGGCAAACACTGTCCACTTTTGTAATTTGTAAGAAAAACGGATTTGATCTAATTTTGATACGAAGACCAAAACAAAATGCGGCAAGGTTTTTGGAATCTTGTACCGTACCAAAGCCCTTGTTGGGTTGAGCAATCAGAAAATTGACAAGTTGAACAGAAACGAGATCAATGGGAAGGTCGAGCCTTAGTAGGAAAGTAGTCGTATAAATTACCGCTCCCATTCCAGCCTCCGCCTGATCTACTAGACTTGACGTGTACTTAAAAGTGACCAAGAAACGGGTCAAGCAGATGAAGAAGTGGACAACTAGGGTCGTCAAAATGCCCACTTTTTGACCCTTCCACCTAACAACTACTTTGTCCTGTTTTCTATCCCATTTTACAAAGAGACAACCAAAGTACGCCCCATACATGAGGTTACGTTTTATGAAGAAGATATCTTTGATAAGCATTTTAGATAAGAGAAGTGGTAAAGATTATCTCTGTAGGAGCCGACAGAGTGACAGGATTTTAAATATTCTCGTATTACTGGTTTTGTCTGTATGGCTGGGTAAAGAATTTAATTATAATAATAGTTATTAGTACACTCTTAGCAAACTTGTGATAAAAGCATTACCGAGCGGAATACATATGTGACTCTACCAGGGTTGGCAATAATCAGCATTACCGCTGAGTAATGGGATGGCAATGAAAAATTTACTATAATATAATAATAAGAATAATAATAATAATTTATTCATTTAATCCTACAAGGCCCATAGATTATACACGTTATTACATCAATGGTTATACCAAGTCTGAATTTAAATTGAAATATACAATCATAAAATTGAAAATTATAATGAAAAATCTACTAGTGAGTAAGGAATCAATTCGAAGGAAGTAACTCATCATTACCACAGCGGAGGAGAATTACGACTCGATCGGATTTTTAAGAGTGTATTTAATTACAGAGGAAGTTGTACAATAAAGTATGCACACATGGACGAACAAGATAGGGGAAGGCTAGATTACCTTTCGGGTGTTCAGATTCTCATAAATTATTAATCTGGAGTTGGTTTTGTTGACGACTAAAGGTGATAATGCCATGGCCTGGATAAATTCTGGGATGAAATATTAAAGTGAGTTTGGTCGAATACCAGGCAAACCAAAAGCACCAAGATTGTTATGCAGGGTGGAATAATCTTAATAATAATAATCTTAAAATACGTATTCATATTCGTCAGTAATTAAATATTTAGTTGCATCACGGCTGTCAAATGATTTAAGGGGATTAAATAAATAAATGACAAAATTTGGAAACGCAAGCATAAATGATGAGCATAATTGTGTTGGAATTACATATGGCTCGCAATCCGGCGGGACGAAATGATAATTTATTCAGGCCGGATCGGAGCATGCGGATTTTAACATCGTACCGTACCGTTCAGGAAAATTCTGAATTCCGTTCCGTCGGATTTAGTGCATAGTATTTAGTAGTATTTTAGTACTTTTATGTGTACTTAATTACTAATTCTGAAGAAGAATTTCGGATAATTTAGAATATGTATTTTCGATTTCACTTCCCCGGATTTTGGCCTTTAAAACTTTGTGTATTTTAAAATGTATCGAAAGTACAGTATTTTGTATTTTCGATAAACTACAATGTGTCATGTATTTTGTAATATACTTTGGAAACTTTTTCAGAAATGTATTTGCGATACAAATGTATTTTGCCATTTGTAGTGTATGTATCTGTACTTCGAATTCATGAAAAATGTTCAGTGTATAATATACTGAACATTTTAATCCTTATAAACGAAATTAGTTTATAAGGATTCAAAGCTAAATGACTAATATCATTCGAGTCTCTTTAATTCTCAATCAGTTACTCGTCAGTACAGCAGAGATGGGATGCCCATGTACATTTTTAATTAATAATCAAGGTCGGGGGAAACCTGAGTTTTACTACCCGTATAAAAATCGTGTGGCGACTTCTGCATAATACGGCACACTTATTCGGCACAATGATTTATGCATGAAAGTTGTGGTGAGTATATTCTGCATAAAAGTTTATAAACTGATATTTTTATGAAGAGACTTTTCTTCATACAAAGCTTGTGGCTAGCAATCTCTATTTTTAATAAAAAAAACATAACATAATTATGCATAATCCTGCACAGGTTATGCACAAATCACCCGGCATAAATTTTCTGCATAAAAATCAGCCAAATTGCTGCATAAAATCCAGCCAAATTTCTGCATACAATCCGTTAAAATTTTTATACGGGTACACTGCAAAAAACATTTGATCGCGTAATGTCCATATGTGACTCTAACGTCGCGATGTTTAGTTTATAACCGTATGACATAAATTTTGAAACTGGTTGTGGATAAATCGCTACCACTTGGTAAATATACACACCTAGCATCAAGGCGCTTGATCCACATGTTGACACTACTCCGTGACAAATGAACACCGGACCTTGTATTAGAACAACCCATTGGATTTGATATGTATTATTAGGTTTTAGACGGGATTTCCTGGTTGGTACTGGGCTTGACTTAATGGGTGAAGGTAACATTATTAAATGCAAAAGTTCATGTGATTGTGAAATCATGTACAAATTGGTGCAATCGATTTCTGAACATTGTTTTACTTATTTCATTAAATTTGACGTAAATATGTTAATCCCAGTAAAATCCCAATGATACAAATATAGTAGAACCGAATGTGTCATACCTATTTGCAACCCAGAAACCCCATCACAATTAAACCCTGGGTCGGAACAGGCTTCCAATTATCCATCACAACATCAAGTTTCAAAGTGCAACGATTTTTTACGTGCATAAAACTATGTCACAATTAGTATGACACACGGTTGGCATGATGAATAACGGCATGATTGACATGTTGTTTTTATCATGTGGGACCAACACCCCAAAATATTGCGTAAGAACCAGCCTTTCATCTCGACTCGTTCGTTAAACGGAGTCAAACTTTGTTCCAAGTGAGAAACACGCGATACACTTGAACTTTAATAGAACATGGCTCGATATAAATTATCTCATGATATCAGTATGACTTGCACATTAATTAATTTGTATTGCGTTGCAAGCAAAAGAATAAAAGGGGATTGCTCACTCTGCATTTGCACATAATTTGCCCGTTCATTGGATTGATATTATTTCAGCTGTAATTAATTAAATTCCGATCAAAAAAAAGTAAAGAAATCTTGAGTTAAAAAATGTTTCGAGCAATTCTTATCTCCTCGTTTCTTGCCCTTGCCGTCGCGCAGGTGCCATTCATCCACTTGTACAGTTTGTACGACAGCGTGGGTCCCTTCAACATGTACTCGGAAAGGGACATCCCAGACTTGACGAAGTACGAGTTGTTTTACGAGGGCAGTGAACAGAATCCAGACTATATTTATTGCCTGCATGGAAAGTGAGTATAATTTTAGAAATGAAATTCGAATGAAATTCTATAATGAAATTTGAATATATTTTAGCAAATAATTAAGATATATGAATTAAGAGGAGCTGAATTTTTAACGGAAGCAGCCAAAATGAACACTTGATTAATCCAGATCAGTAAATTCACAATTTAGCCCTCAATATTTAAATTCTCGTGGTTTTCATTCTGCTGAAATAAGTTTTCGAAATTTTATTATTGAGGGCCCGAGTTCGCATATTCGCACTTGCCCTGGAAATGGGAACGTTCGGAAATCAATTTTCGAGTCAAAATTTTGTGCGAACTTGCAATGAATACCCACATTATTAATTCAAACTTTTAGTAAGAAATCTAGTTTTTCTAGTTATCTAGTTTTTATGCAGAAACCAGAGATTTTTGTAATAATATGAATTTTAAATGTGATTATTTTTGCGACAAATTAAGTTAATTAAATTCTCCTCTCGCTCGAACTAATGTTTTCCCCTTTTTACACCAGTTGGATTTTACACGGAGCGGAAAATTACACTACAGGGAGTGGATATTCATACATTTCCGAGTGGGAATGGGAGACTTCCGGCTGTGTCAAATCGTTTACAGGATCTCGTCCAAAATCCCTGAGAATGACAGGAGTACCCGGATCGATAAACGCACCGAGCATTAATTTCTACCCGGGAGCTGACTTCGAGGGAGAACATACCCTCGTGTCTGACGACCTCCCGGATGTGGACTTTACCTACCGATCTGTTATAGTCACCGGTCGCAGTTCTTATTGGCTGCTGTATCCAGCCGTTAATTACCTCGGTTTTCCTGCCTGTGTGGATAATACGAATTATAATACCTCCTCGATAAGAGTGAGGTCTGTTAAGAGACACACGGAAAGGTGCCCCTGCCTCTTTTGTGACAAGGTGGAACAGAAACAGCCAAACATTGTGCGAGTTGCTAAACCCGTTTGAAATCATGATAATGTAATATCAATTGATGTAAATGTATATGTAAAATAAACAAATGCACCTTTGTTAAATATGTGTTTAACAGTACAAAAATAAAATACAAACGATCAATATTGTCGAATTTTAGCGTTAATATAAATCATTAAATATGTGTGGAAGTTTTAGACATTCGATTAGAATCATATATTTCTAGAGACTGATTTGTTAATCATGATCACGATTTTTTATAACCTATGCTACATAATAAGATAATATGTGTTACAGCATTCTTGGTTAAATGTAGGCCAGATGTTAACTAATAATAACTCTCAAATATTTGTTAAATTCTAACCCAGATAATTTAACAATATGTACTTCCAAATAAAACTTCAGCTCGATTGAGAGATTTGACAAATTTATATGGGATAGTCCCATACAGAGAGTGCAAATATAATTTCCTTTTTACCCTTTCCGAACTTTATTGCAAAATTTATTCCTTCTCATAATTTCGATTTCTAACATAGCTCCTTGAAAAAGTGACAACTTTATGATTTTGGATTTTCTTGATGTAGAGGTTTGCAAACTGGAGTAGTTATGTTATTTCACGTATATGTGAAATCAGGGTAATAATAAAGGTGAATGATTAAGCATTCGCAATTTCGCTTGCGACATAATTTTAATTAGAAGTACACAATTCTCAAAATCTAGGAGGGAAAAATTCATAGAAAGATGTAAAAAAAATTGTCTGGTGACTTAAGTTTCTGAAAATATTAATTTCCCTATGCTTTATGGGCTTGAGTTCCACCTTAAAATCCTAATTTTACACTAATTTACATAGTTAACATCACCTGGCTTAAAGCAACAATCAATTTTTGCCGAATTATTTACAGGGTCACAGATTGCTTACTCATATTTTTTTGCAGACAAGAATCGGAATACTGGGCATTCATACAGTAAAATCCTGTGTACATTATTGTGTGCCAGTTGATGTAATTGAGGCAGTCGCACATCCACTTTAAGAAACAGTAATTGCTTTGATATGTAAATTAAAGGTAGAAAATCCCAAAATCTGAGTAATAATTGCTAATACTCTTCACAACTCCTACTTATGTTGCAACTTGTGAAAATTTGTACATTATTTACACCAATTTGACGATGCAGACCATTCGCTCTTCACAAAAAATTCCCCAAAAAATTATTCAACTTGTAAGGATGAAAACATCATTCTAAAATAATGTTGTGTATTTTGAGAATGAATTTTCTCAATTTTATTAAGTTTTAAAAAAGTGCCATAAGTTTTTGAACGCTAGTAATATAATGTGTCCCCATTGTATTTATGATGGGCGGAAGGGGCTGTTGCAGAATCGATGTCATCTCGGTGATTTTAAATATCTCTAATATTTGTGGAAATCATTCAGCAGTAATTTCTTCTTGGATTCATACCCACAAAATGCGATTTTATCTCTAAATTATTCCATATTCTGTAAATTTTCTATAAATAATTTCTATATTTTCTATAAAATATTTTTAAAACGTAAAATTAAATTGTAGCATTGCACTCATAAAAATTTTATGTAATTCAACATAAAAATAGAGTGAATAAGGCTAGTTTTCAGAGTCCTTGTTAGATGAGCCGGAGTGGCTTGCGAAGCTTCATTTCGGCTTTTTTCAAGGAATAATGGGCACCTTTCCAATCGTGCCAGATGACTCCTAGCCCAGGGGTTTCTACGCTGCTGGAATTATGGTAGATGGAGTTGAGGAATGCCTGATAACTCAGGAAGAAATTCGTGAGAAACTAGTTAATCTCTGATTTAATGGTTATTTCGAAACGTATGTAAATGCACTCACGTAAGAGCAATTCTCATGCCACCAACCACCCCGCCACTTTCCGGCACAATTCCCCAGGGCGTTATCGTTGTCATTTTCATATGTACTAAACTCCTTGCCATCATTATAGCTGAATGAATCGCCTGGAAAATAAGGTAATTTTAAGAGATCAAATTTAGTGTTTAGTTCGTGTGTAGGATAGTTTGCGGAAAATTGTGGAAAGAGAGTTCGTTCTGATTTTGTGTGATAATTTTTGATATCTTGTAATTCATGAGAGTCGTTGTCACACACAACTTTAAAATAATTGAGTTTTCTACACATTGTAGAAATCAGTTCTATGATTTTCTAATTAATGCTCCAAAATCTATAAGGATTTTCGTTGCACCATTGGTATGCTGGCATAAGGTTGGTCAATAGGGTGCACAAGTGCAATGTCGAAGTATTTTTAGTCAACAGTAATCTTGTCGACAACGAACTCGTCAACAACTTAACGTCGACGTTTATTCCGATCACTCCTAACCTAACGTGGATGTATAAAACGTGTCGACCGTATAAAAATCCATTAATATTTTGTCGACAGGTCAATTGTAAACCTCAATTCCGGATCTCGGTATCACAGTTTGGTTGGCGTATCCATGACACGTAAGTCGACCTGCTACACAAATTTTAGGCAGCATTTGCAATCATTCACCTGCCGTTCCCCAGTATCCATCCACCGTTAAGTTGTACTTCTCCTGGGCATCAGCAACTCTGAAGACGTCATAAATCGCGTACTTCTTGTTCCCCTCCCAGTCTTCGAGGTCCACGCGTAACTGTGTATATCCTTCCAACGTGAGGCCATGAATGGTTTCTAAACCTAGATACATACATTGCATTTAGGATTAAGCACAATTAGCTTGTGCTAAGAAAATTTGCACAAAATTGAAATTTGCACCGAGCCAGAAATCTCCGTCAAGACTGCCAAATCCATTTTCATAAACTTCCCAAATTCTTTCGAAATCCGTCCTTTCCTTCCATCGCGGAGTTGGGGTACCCCTTCTTTGAATTATGACCCATTCATTGTCGCAGACCAGCTGAGTCATTGTCAAATTAAGTAATTGATTTTAATTCTGAAAGCAAGTTCATACTTAAGTGGTTACTTTTTTAGAGCGAAATTTAGTGTCTGCCAGGCCGGCATCATCCCCACATTTTGAGGAATGTTTCGCTGTTTCAAAGTCAACCTGGATGTAAATTGTAGTATGAGATTTAGAATTATTTGTGCGAATTCCGTACGAAGAGTGCGCGAAATTTTTGAAAGTTCGGAGAGAATTGTAAATAGCTAAAAGCGAAATTGATACCACTTCGAGTAAAAGTAATTTTTTATGAATTTGCAGCTATATCGGGAAGGAATCGTGGAAATTCTCGAATTGCTAATACTACAATTTGTATTGCAAATTTTACATTGCAAAATTAAAATTTACAGCTTCATAAACCGTACGTACTTTATTTTTCAAGGACACAAACTCCGTCAAGATGGCGCTAATATTTTGAGACATCCTGGAACTCGTGGATCTGATATCTGCCAAGATGGCGGCCTGTTCCAGTTGAAGCTCTACTACGAACTTGCATGTCTCGTTTAAGTTTGACTGTAAAATGAAGTAAGTTGCAAATTATTTACGCAAATTCCATATTGCAAATTTGTTTATGCGTGTTGGCAGTTTCATTACATCATTAGCGGCTTCTAAACGTTTCAATTTCTCGTGAAATCTGGCCTCCAAAGCGGCAAAATCAACCTTCGTGGGGATTTTTTCTAAATGGCTGACCACCTTGAGAAATAGTCAAAAGTTGAATTTTTAAGTCGAATTCAAGGGTGAAAATCCTTTTTGAAATTTTACTCACGCGTTCGAAGTGATCATTCAGATTTTGAGGAAGGGTTTCGTCATCGTTCAAATCATCCGTGAGCGTACCTTGGACCTGGAAAGGTATTTAATACTCGGTTTAATTACGGATGGTTCTAGCGGAATTTATGGATTTATGAAAAATCTGTCCCTTAATTTGGGGGTTAATTATTAGCTTATTGATCAACAACAAGTTGATATGCTATTGTGCAACGACATTAAATATACACTGCAAAACATGGAGGTGCTAAGTATCACCGCGCGGTGTGCATGCATGATACGTGTAAAACTTATAACCCCATGATGTCCGTATTATCACAAGGCGATGTAAAATCTAATACCACGTCGGCGAAGTCCCGTATATACACCACGCGGTGATAATTACATAACACGGCATTTTTTGCGGTGCATGGAAATTTGTTTGGCAATTAAACTGAATATGTATGTAAGGATTATGGCCAGTCTGACAATCTTTAGGTGACGTGAAAATCTATTCATTTATAAAATATTGAGACTTTGAGTGGGACTCACCAATCGGCCAAATTTCAACCCTGCTTCCAAAAATATTAAAATCAAAAGAAAATGGAATGCAAACATGATGATCAAAACTTCAGAAAGGTGGATGTTGACTGGTCTTGCCGGCGAAATAAAATGCACGGCTTACATATTTACTACACAACTCTGGAGTTGATTTGACTTGATGTGAAAATAATATTTATATCCTGCTGCATACGAAATGTTACATGTTCATGCAAATTTGTGCCTGTACATACAAGGTATAAAGATGACACTTGAGATATGTATTCGTATATTAATGCTAAATTAAGCCATACATTAATTTTGCAAGGCTAAAGTTGCAAAAAAATGATTCGAGGCATTGATCTCTATTTACGTGTATGTGACATCGTCTGCCCCGGAGGCTTTCTTGGAGATTGTGAATTGAATGGAGTCTTGATTTTATTATAAGGGCTGACGGATTTATAAAGAATTTGATTGATTTGTTATGATCGTTGTGTCGAAGACGTGCAATATTACTGGTGCCCAAACTTATTGTGTATATTGTGGTTATGTGAATAATACGTAAATCTGTACTTATGTGTGTGCGTGTAAATGTCAGGGACCTTTTTGTATAGCTGATTTCCAGGAAATTGTGTTCAGAAAGATTTTCTAGTGGATATTTTGTCAATTATTTATTTACAGTATGGAAAAATTCCTTGTTGGTAATTGTTTTGTTATAATTTATTACGGGTTGATAATGAAGAGATCCATGAAGAGATCCCTTCTTTACCGCACGTATAAACTATGGAATGACCTACCGAAAGTTGGATTTCCACAAAATGACATATTCAACGTTTTGTGACAATGTGAAAAAATTAATTACTATAGTAATTAATTTTTTTTTAATAATTATTTACGACTAAATGACCCATAGTTATTATTAATCCATAGAACGTAGCTAATTAGTTTAATAATTATGTTTTGCAAATTTATATTCGAAATTTTGTCTTCCGGAGTCCAGAGCTGAAAACCAGCACTTGTGCTGACGCTCATACGACTCCTTTAGTAAAAACGATCAGTCAATCAATCAAAGTCGCTGGTCAACATTCTTAAAAAAATGTTTCTACGGTCGGGAGTTAAACTGATGTTTTGCAATCTACAATTGTTAGCCATATTTGGATTTAAGCCATTTTTCTATGATATGGGAAGGAAATAATTCGTGTCCTTGGGCCGGGATAAGGTGAAAGTTACCGTAATATCGGGCACAGTTGTTATTCTGCTGGGATTCAAATCATCTGATGGTGTCAATTCGGAGAGAAAAGCTTTCATCGTCACATTTCTAATCGGCTGGGTGACAGGATATTCGCTTACATTCCCAATGTTGTATGCTCCAAAGAGGTTTGTGAACTTGACGAATATGATTAGACAATTCGAGCTGGGATATTTTAAAATATTGGGTAAGTTTTCAGACGAAACAAATCCCAAGAGATTAAGTGGAAAAGTCACAAAAATATCTCAAGTTATGAAATACAAAAAATATTAACAAAACAGCGGTGTCGATATGTGGCTACACCGTTTGGCGATAAATTCTCACGGTCTAGTGTAAAATTGCAACCGCATGGTGAAAAACTGTCACCGTCTGGTGACAGTTTTATCACCACGCGGTGACAAATAGTAACACCATGCCGGTGTAGCCACATATGCACCCCGCGCGGGGTAAAATTTACACCAGATTTTTTGCAGTGTATGTGTCCATTTCACAATTAAGTAAACCCTATCTATTTCTCTGCTACCAATAAAAAGGATGGATCGAATAATGTTTAATCAGTATCTATAACATGGCAGAATATAGACACGTACAGGAGTCGTCCATTAAGCTAATTAAAATTACATCGAAAAAGTCACCGATAAAAAAAAATTTTGGTGGCAAGTAAGGTTGCAATGTTTATGATGACGAATTTTTAGTTTGAAAAGATAGACCTGAACTTGGAGCCTTGAAATGAGAAGTGGGCTTGAAATGGGAATTTCTGCCCTGTTTAATATCTAATTGTAACGAATTTGCTGCTGTTGATATTTAAGTGGAGCTGAAAAATATTTCAAATTCATTTGGCGAGACCTATTTGTTGTTCACGTACATGAACATTGTAGAAATTAAAAAAATGTTTGCAAGTCATGCGGAGTTAATCGGGATATATTTTATTTTGTACCTAACATTTGCATATGGGCAGGACATTCTTTGTTCAATTTATAGTTAGTCAAACCCATCTATTGCTCATCAACCAATAGAATTGATGAACACTTTTAAGAAAAGCTGACTGCAAAGGAGTCGAACAATAAAATCCCTAACCTTAACCTAACCTTAAAAATATCGTAACCATAATCTAAAAAATGAAGAAACTGAAAAAGTCAAATTAAATTAAAAATAATACACTTCCTCCAATTCTTTCCCGTATACACTTTTAAGATATTTAAAACCGTTTCATCGATTTATAGAATATGGGAGAATATAGCGATTTTCTAAAGCAGTCCATTTAGCTAATTAAAAGTATATCTGACAACCCTTCTCTTAAAATATTAATAAAGTTGGTAGTTCTAAAGATACATAAGCATGCAAAGTAAATAATTAATAATTTAAAAGTCAAAGGCCGTCCGGACAGGGTGTTAACAAGAATTTAAATGTAGAATTTATAAAATATATGCATTTGCAACTATATAATAAAGTATTGGAAAAAAGCAGTTTGGTTGAGGGAAGTTCACCTACAATCTGGATGCCTCCACATTTTCGTATTATGGATTTAGTTAAAGAGCTTGTATAGATTTTGAAGAAATTGCCACGTATGCTAATAAAGAAAATGGGCATTTGATATTTTATTGTTCAGATAATTTTATACTTGCAGATAGAACTTTCAGGTGTCCTGTGCAATACAAAAATAGGTTGAATTGAATACGACAATATGGTTCTCAGGGAGATGAGGTGAGGCATATCCCTATCATTTGATCTCTATTCTCTAACAAGGGACACTATTGACATGGGTGGAGCGTCCAGGGCACCCACTATGTTTTTAGGAATCTACTAGAACCCTAGATGAACGATCCATTCGTATTTCCGTGTAAAACTCATATTTGGGGCCGTGGGGTGGCGCCACATTCGCCAAATTTGAATGTTTTTAATTTTAAAACCGCCATAACTTTTGAAATCCTGGAGGGATTTTCAAAATATTTGGCCAAAATCATGAAAAGGAGTCGAAGTTTCGAATTCTATGAAATAAAAAAATTAATTGTTTCATTTTTTTCGAAAATTTTGAGGCATGGGATTGGTCGACAAAATCTTCTAAATAAAAAAATTATAAATACAAATTTGTAATGTGTTAATTTTTTTCTTAAAATTTTGACCTTTGTGAGCATTTTAAGCCCAAAATTTTGAAAATCCCATGGAAATTGCAAAAGTTATTGAGGTTTGAAATTGGTCGGAAACGCAAATTTTTAAGTTTGGCGCCACGCTACGGCGCCAAATACTAGTTTTACACGGAAATACGAATGGATCCTTCATCTAGGGTCCTAGTAGATTTTAAAAAACATAGTGGGTACCCTGGAGTCTCCACCCATGTCAATAGTGTCCCTTGTAAGCCAGTTGTTCAAACAAATAAAGTAATGAATTCGGATAGTTACGAATTGACTATCAAGGAGTCAAATATTTGGAACCCATAACCAAAATTTGTAAAAATAACAATCTGAAAAATTAAACGCGAACAACCTAAAATTTTCTCAATCTAATCAGTCATACCTAATAGGTAGGTAGATATTTATTAATTCGATTGATGTGGCCGCGGCCTTTACAATCATATACACATACATTTATAAATATAAATAAAGTAATTTAAATATTAGTTTTTAATAATAATTCTTATTAATTAATTAATTAATCAAAAGAGTCCCTTAATTATCAATTGTTATCCAAATGGATCTCTCTTATTTCATTGGCTTGTTTCAAATAGTGGTTTATACATTTAAGTTTCATTTCATTCAAGTCTGACAAAAAATTTACAAAATCGTTTCTACTGGTTGGGAGACTTGTTAGTTTCTTACTCAGGATTTTACGAATAAGACTGTAATTTGGGCATACACAAATCAAATGGTACATATCTTCTACTGCTGATTGACATAAATTACAGATTGTGTTTTCGTCATTTTTGTAAATGACATTAATTCCATTTAGGTTCACAGTTTTATTATTTATCGTAAATCTTGGGTACATGGTTCTCAATTGCATTCCCAATTTAACTAAATTCCAATTAATATTAGTATCATTTAGAAATCCTTCTACTCTAGCATGTAATTTAATATATTTTAAGTGAGATAACGAGTTTGAACATTGCATTCTACTTATATCTTCTTCTACAATTTTATTACGGATCATATCGACTATTTTATTTATATTATATTTTAAATTACTAATCGTTTCTTCATTTATAATCAGTCATACCTAATAACAATTGAAATGTCAGACCTAGTAAATACTTGTACCATTATGGTATTTTGTATCCTGAACTGTCTTACGTGCACTGGTTCCGAACAAGAATTCCTTCCCGTGTTTGACACTTTGATGTACAAATTGGAACCTTGCGACATCCAGGTGTTGCACGACAATGTTAGTACTGACTGGTTTAACATCAACCTGCCGATTAAAGTCGTGTCTGAATTTAAGAAAATGAAGTCGAAGCAAATAAACATTTTCAAATCAGTCGTAGATTATAAATTTAAACTTGCCATCATACTTTCAAGGATGGCTCTACTTTCTGGTAAATATAATATGGCTGAAATTTCGAATACGTACATTGGAACGGTTGTGCAAGGATACATGTTTTTCACCGACTCACAGAATCGCGAGGAGGTGCAAGGAAGCGACGTGGTAATGATGTTTGTAACCACAAAGTCTAATCGGAACAAAGTTGCTTGGAGCAATACCAATGGGTACGACTATTTGAAAATTGCCACCGTTGTACTTCTTGGTCATGGAGGGTTTGAAATATGCGGATGGGATACCACAGTGAAAAGCCTGAAAGAAGAAGAATTATATTGTCGAGAGGAAACACTCTGTGGTAACAATTTTGTTGAGTTGTACAAGGAAATTCGTGTACCCTTTCCAGTCTGGTGTGCTAGTAAGGGAGCGACCGGTGGCGTAGCTGAAGTAATACTTAGAAAGGAGATGTCCAGCCGATTTGACATTCCAGATGGAAGTTCCGT